CCGAAACACTTCTGCAACATTTTCAATAATTTCGTAGTCGTGATTCTATTGGAAACACAAAATTTCAAGCAAACTCATTGTTCCATTTTTTCCATATTAAAAATCTGCAGACAAACTTTTTGCGTCATAAACAAATAGCTGCCAACTACACACTTTTTAATATATCGAGATCAAACTTCACACAAATATAAAAAAATAATTGTACCAATCTAGAAAAAAAAATAACCAAAACAATTACCATATCCATATCCCATAATATTATTAAGGGATTTGTTTTGTCAAAACAGCAACAGCAACAACAATAACATAAAATATTGAACGCTTTGTTAGTTTGCAAAATTAGCCACAGCAGATTAAGCAGCACTGAAAATCTAAAGATAATGCTAGGCACATGTTCGAATAATGAATACGCTTGTCCAATAATTGGCAGATATTTTCAGCTTATCTGTCGGCAATTCGCTTGCTTGCTTATTTATAAATAAAAGTCAACTGAAACCACTGCTAAAACAATTGTGTTTATTAACTTGTTAAGTCAACTACTATATTTCAGATTCGCTTCTAAAATGCATGCCAAATTCTGTCTGTTGTTTTTGTTTGTTGTGTGCATTGCTGGACTTGTGTCGGCGAAGCCACAAGGAGGTGCGTTGTGATTAAATAACAAAGTGAAAGAAACGATTTCGTAGCAGCCTAATAATTTTTTGTTTTCATAGATCTTAAAGACTCTACCGATTGTGGTGAAAATGAGGAATTCACAACCTGCGGCAACATCTGTCCACAGAGATGCGAAGGAGGTCTTCGTTTCTGCTCACTGCGCTGCTTTATTGGCTGTCGTTGTAAAAGTGGCTATGTGTGTGAATAGAGAGAGAAATGTGTCCTGCAGGAGGATTGTTAAGACGAACAAATATTGATGAAATTAATTATGTAATTGTTTTGGAAAACAAATAAATAAATGAAAACTTATTATTTTTTATTGTTTAAAACTGTCAATGTTTAATTTTGTTCTGTCTGCCAGTTTATTATAATTATCGTGAAGTAATTATTAATAAAACAAAATACTAAAAATAATATTTTAAAAGGGCGATTAAGATAGGAGCATGAGTTAGGCTTTCTTGTTAATATTATTGTTATGGTATATTGGTATTTTCGATATATGTGAGTGAATATGTTGGGCAGTTTATTAAGTGTTTACTAAACT